TAGGTACCAGGGATTGAAATTACAACCTTGTGCTTGTCAGGCATGCCACTCAGCTAAATCCCTGGCAGCTCACATTTTATATTTGCGCATGATTCTCATCTGTTTCTGTCCTGGTAAAAAGCAAGTTGCATGGTAGGAGGAATTTAATTCATAAAGATTCGGCAGTTTAATTTGTATTCTCATTTTACAGATGAGAACACTAAATCCCACCAATTATAACACTGGATTAAAGCTGAAGCTGAGCTCTAACTCAAGCCTTTGGACTTCAAGCCTTGTACTCTTCCCAAAGGGTTACCCAGGCCAAAGCCCTCATGTTACATTAAGGAGGAAACACAAGGTCAGAGTGGGCCCTGGCTTGGCTTGGTCAGGTCTCTGCTACTCACTATTCCCCTGAGCCCTATATCATGGCCTGAGCCCTTGTTTTTTCTAAGCCCTGCTCCTCAGGTGCCTAATCCTTTGGCAGAGGAAGGGTCTCTCCTGCAGGCCCTGTCCCGGGCAGGCTAAGCGCCCAAGGTTCCGGTTTATTCACTGGCAACAGCTAGGAAAAGATGGTTTTACTCTGAGCAAACACAACATTGAATAGCCAGGGGAAGTGTGAACAAAGTGTACCGCAGGCAGTGCCCCACAGGGCAGCTGGAACCCAGGGAAAACTTAATCCCCTCTCTCTGGGGCCCTCCGCATGTTTGCCAAGCATTTTTACACACTTTGCAGTCTTTCTGGCAGCCTTGTGCCAACTGAAATTTTTTTTGTGTGCTGTGGATTGAACTCATGACTTCGAGTTTGCCAAGCAGGCACTTAGGCCGCTGCGCTAAACCCCCGTCCCCAACTGGAGTTATATAATTGAAAAAAACTGAGCCTCAGAAAGACTATGCAATTTCACAAAACACAAAAAACAAGACAAAACAAAAAAGGCACACTAATATTGTCAAGCCTCTCCTATGTATCAGATACTACATGCTCACAACAATCCTGAAAAGCAGGATGGAGTTGTCATACAGATTTAACAAACCTGGGCAGACATTTCTATGTATAATTTTGATGTATCAGTTAAAAAATTTAAAATACATTGAAATAGTAATACATTTTGTCTTAATATTTTAGGACCTGACTTTAGGATAAGATGAGACTCTACTGAGGACATTATTTCTGTCTCACAGATTAAAAAAAAAATAGAGGTTCAGGCAGGCTGACTTGTCACAAACGTTCCTGGTTTGCTGATATCACATATCAGTTAGTGACTGAGCTGTGACTTGATCCCAAGTCTCCCAGCACACAGTGGCACTTAAACAGAAATGGGTATCCAAATCCAAGAGCAGCACCTTCTCCCTACATCACAGGAAAAACCAGTGAAAGCCTATAGTGCAGGGGGCAGGGACTAAACTGGGAGGACGAAGGACATGTTTTTCTGTTTTGGTTTTGGTCCTTTGGAGGACAACGTGACCATACCAATCAAATTATAGATGTACACACCCTCTGACCCACCCAGAAGCATAATTCCTTATTTGTGATGAGTAAAAGAATCAAACTCTAATGCCTCAGAATAAGGTAAAAGCACTATCACACATTCACATTATAGACTATTACACAGCAGATAAAAAGCATAAAGTGATCTGAGATGAAAAAAACAACAGCCAAACAGTACATTTTGTGTTTCTGTGTGTGTGTTTAAAAAAAGGTATACATGTGGATGTATGTCAATATAGAGATCCTCCTTCAACTAGGTCGTTGGATGAATTTGATGCTAAATGAGAAATGATATATAATATGTACATTACAATATTCAGAACAAAGAAACAGTCAGGGCCAGGAGTTTAGCTTAGCGGCTCAAATGCCTGCTTGGCAAGTTTGAGATCATGAGTTTGATTGCTGGGACCAAAAAGAAAAAAAAAAAACAAAGATCAAAGAAAAGGTCAAAGCAAACTTCAACTTAATGACTTCGTTTTAATTTCTGTAACTCATGCAATACTGCAGTGTAACTTATGCAATACTATAACATAAAACTAAGTACTATACTACTAGAACAATCAGCAAAAGTTATAGTATTGTATAAGCAAGGTGTACTATACAAAAAAAAAGAAAAAGATATTGAGGTTCTATAAGCAAGATGCACAGAACTGAATACAAAAAAGGCAGGTTGTAAATCTGAGCAGCGAGTCATCAGTCCGAGCAGCACTTTTCAGTCCTAAGTCCGAAAGTTGTCGAACAAGTAGGTTGTTAAGCAAAGAATATCTGCATTAGACATATTATCCACTTGTTTTTCTTATGAAGACATGCTCTCCAATAATCTTTAAAATAAAATATAACAACCACCAACAAATCACATCAGCTGGGTCCAGGCAATATTGATCCCTCATGTGTCAGAAAAGGCAGGGATGAAAATTATTCAGAAAACATTTTATGATACAGCAATGATATACAAGGTGCTCATTAATAATCATGATGGCAAAACAGCTGTAATCTAGATGTGCAAGTCAACAAATCTTCTATTCCTATTTCCTCACATGCCCTTTCCTAGCATCTTAGCAGCTTTCATGAATTCTTCAAGGTTACACTGATCACACAGTTGATAGTGCTGCAAACTGTTCTTTGATGTGCAATTTTGGCTCATTAATTAAGGAGATTTTGCAGCTCATTACAAGGGAGCAATGAAACTACAATACTACTATAAAGATACTTCAGAACCACAAACCTGGTCAGGCGTGGTGCCTGTAGTCCTCGGCTTGGAAAGCTGCACCAGGAAGATCCCTGCAAGTTTGCGATCAGACTGGGCTACAACGTGAGTTCAAGCCCGGCCTGAACTGCAGTGAGACCCTGTCTCAATAAATAAAATAGTATGTAGTAAAAGAATGCAGGCATGTGTGCAATGCACGCTGTCTGGACCTGGACCCAGCTGAGTAGCTCTATCAGGTCAGTCCTGTTCACTGTGGGAGAAGACTGTGTACGGGTGTTGAAAATCCAAGATGCGGACAGTATATAAAATTGAACATGGCAGAAGAAGACTATATGTCCCATTCCTTCATTAATGTCCAAGAAGATATCACACCAGGATTACCAATAGTGAGGTATACCGAAAACAAAACAAAAGCAAACAATGCAAAGAAGAAAAGCAAATTTGAAGCTAATCTGAAAAACAGAAGTAAGCTAGGCTTGGTGGCATGCACCTGTAATCCCATCACTTGAGAGGCTGAGGCAGCAGGACTGATGGGAGTTTGAAGCCAGCCTGGGCTTCACAGTGTGTTCAAGGCCAGCCTGTGAGACTTGTCTCAAAAAAACAAACAAAAAAGATAAAAGAGTTTAAAAGAAGAGGAATGAAAAAGATGTGACACTGGGTTGAAAAATTCACTAGGCTATGAAAACAAAGTGTTTGCTTTGAGCCAGAAAATGGGTATAAAAGTGATCAAGCTTTTGGCAAGAGTGGAGATGGTATAATTGAACCAATTCGTCTTTATGTCATAACAGGAAAAAGTGGCTTTGCTTATAAGGCATTATTAAAACAGAAAGCAAAAGAAAAATTAGCAACTGAAGATGCATATGAAAAAAATCAAGCTTAAGAAAAAGGTGTAGTATGGTACTGGATGTGACTTACAAGTCAGCAACATGGCTAGATGTGGTGGTGGGTGCCTGTAATCGGTCACTCCGGAGGTAAGGCAGGAGGATTGCTGTAAGTTCCAGGACAAACTAAACTGCATAGTGAGACCCTGTCTCAAAAAAACAAAAACAAACAAACAAAACAAAACAGAAAACCATGAAGGTTAAAGGAGATCTTAAAGGAGGCTAATTAATCCTTCAACAATTGTGTATCCAGAAGAACATTCAGGTTTCCAGGAAGGCGTGGCACTGGTTGAAGTGTGAAGAAGAAACTCAAGAAGAGGAAGAAGAAAAAGAAGAAAATAAAGGTAAATATAAGAACAAAGACTTAGGGGCCAGGAATTTAGCTCAATGGCATAAGTGCCTGCCTGACAAGTGCTAGGTTGTGAGTTCGATACCTGGTACCAAAAAAAAAAAAAAAAAAAAAAAAAAAAAAGAACAAAGACTTAAATATACTGGAAAAATGACCAATTTTGACTGGCTATCTAGAGGAAGAACATCTGTATTGTATTTGGTGTGCAGTGGCCTACAAAGATAAAGATCTGTCTTCAAATTGCCCAGGACCAATTCCTGCAGATCCCAACTAAGATTATTCATAACACACTGGGAATTGTTTATTCTAATAAGGAAAGAGGATTTTCATATAATGCTTTCTTTTCGTACTTTACAAGTACATTGTACTTTAGAATAAAATTGTTTGCTGACTTAAAAAAAATAACACATTTCTACTTCATAACACAAGTATGAAGATTCAGACAATTAAATTTATGACCACATTGCAATGCTTGTGGAGTTAAGGACACCAACAGGTAACTCACTCCTCCCTTAGCTTTGAAACAATTTAAAAAAGAAGAAACAGGAGGAAGAACACAATGTCAAGCCTTATTAGTGATGAAGCAGAAATAGAGAAAAAGGGCTCTTCACACATCTGTTTAATACTTCTGCCTCATTAGGGTACAGCAAAACCCACTTTGTGTTCCGAGGCTATTTAGCCTCAGACAATCTGAGGTTGCTTCTTCTGCCTCACTATTTTTTTTTTTTTTTTTGTCTTTTTCCTTTTTATGGGTACCAGGGATGGAACTCACGACTGTCTGCTTGCAAGGCAGGTGCTTATGCCGCTGAGCTAAATCCCCAGCCCCCTGCCTCACTATTGAAAGAAATGTCAAGTAGCTTATTTTCCCCCAGTATCAGATATTAAGGAAATACTGCATATCTTTAAGACTTTGTCTTTCATGAATGCTGTTTATTAACACAACATGCTTAGTGAATGTGCCTAAAATACAATAGGCCCCAGGTGCTCCTCGTAGTCCTCTGACTAAGTTGAGGTCATTGAATGAATTAGTTGCTAAATGAGAAACTGTATGTGATATGTACATTACAATACTCAGAACAAAGAAATGATCAAAGGAAACTCCAACTTGACAACTTTGCTTTTATTTGCGTAACTCTCATGCAATACTGTAATGTATAACACAACATAAAACTATAGCACTATACTGTATCGTACAGCCAGCAAAAACTACAGTATTGTATGAGGTGTACCAAAAAAAGACATTGAAGCTTTTGTACAGCACTGTACAAAAACAAAAACAAAAAAACAAAAACACCTGTCAGGCTGCAACTCTGTGGTAAGTTGTAAGTCAGAACAGTAGGTCATTAATGATAGGTCCTACCTAATGATAGGTCCTTCATTTAAGGACCTTCCTTAAATGAAGAATATCTGTAGAGCAAGAAAATTTTCTGGAAGGCTCACAAGAAAGTGGTTCTAGGGAGGGATCTGGTCACTTTTCCCTCTATGGGTATATTCCTTTGTACTTTTTTCTTTTTACCTCATACATGAATTTATTTGCATGAATAGTTTGCAGAGTCCAAGCTCAGCCCTTGGGAGTGCCCTCCTCAAAGGGTGCCACTAGGAGCCTTTCATGTGCAGATGATTCCAGGGGGTCCTGTGAGTCCTCAAAACTCCCCGCTCCTCTCTTCACTCCATTGACCTTCACCCAGAGACAACCTTGGTTAAGACTTTAACTTGGTGCTCTCGGCTCTTCGCACCGCTCACATGTTCCAGTGTCCCTGTCCCCTGGATCCACATGGCACTGCCTGCTGCTCCTTCACTGAGTCCATCATCTGCCATGGCTTTTCTGCCCACCGGCAGCTGTTGAAATCATGCCCAGCTTTCCACTCATCTTCTACGTGTTCGGTGAACTCTCCATGATGCAGAAGCCAACTCCCCGCCCAGACCACTTTTTCTGCACATTCATTCATTCATTCAGCCCTACCAAAGGACACTTTCATAAGCCAAGCAGCAGGGTTAGGCGCTGATGAACAGAGATACCTGAGGCAGGGTCCGTGTTCTGGGTGGGGTGTCCAGGAGACGACCTCAGTTCTAGCTGGGCAAACAGATAAGCAGACACTGCCCTCTGATAAGTGACAAGAAAGTCAGCACAGCACAGGCTGACTTTATACCACACATCCAGGCTCTGAGTCCTGGCGCTGCTGGTTACAGGCTGTGTGACCTTCAGATAATTGTCTTACCTTCCTGTGCCTCAGTGCCCTTATCTGTAAAATGGAGATAATAAGAAAGCAGCTGGGCACAGGGGTGTATGTAGCTCAGTGGTAGAGCACTTGCCCAGCATGTTTGGGGTCTTTGTTTCATCACCAGCAGTGGGGGGGGGGGAGGAAGCTATCTCTTTGGGTTGTTCTGTAAACCAGGTGAATTAAAGTTTTGTAGTCCTTTGAACAGTTTTTGTTATAATTTCAAGAGGCTGCAGGGCTCCAAGGCAAAAAAAAAAAAAAAAAAAAAAAAAAAAAAAAAATCATACAAGAAGATCTTGAAACCCCAAGCATAAGCAGAAGGCAGAACTGACAACAGCCTGGAGATGTGGAGGGTGAGCGGGTTTGAACGGACAGTTTCTCTGATAGGAGTTCTGATCCTTGTGCCTCCGTCTGGCACTGAGCCATCAGGATCATGTCCTCAGGTATCTTTAGGGCACAAAGATGAGGCTGAGAGAGGTTCTCCCAAACTTAACCTTCACAATTCATGCCTCATTATTGTTTGGGGGTGCTGAGGATTGAACCCAGGGCCTCATGCCTGCTAAGCACACACTCTGCCCCCGAGTTTCACTCTCAGTCCTCGTGCCACACCGTTTAGTGTGTCTCCTTGAACCCAACTCACTTTTTTTTTTTTTTTTGTCTTTTTCATTTTTATCGGTACCAGGGATTGAACTCACGACCGCCTGCTTGCAAGGCAGGTGCTTATGCCGTTGAGCTAAATCCTCAGCCCCCCAACTCACTTTTTATAACCTAAATTTCTTAAAAGGTAACTTTAAAACACATCTCCAAATAAAAAAAAATATAGCGAAAACTGTGAACTGAATTCCAACTAGCTAAGCCTCCCTGAGTCTGAAGTCTGCTCTCTCCACCAGGATGAGTCCTAGCAAGTGCAGGAGTAACAGGCTGACACTGGAGTGGGGCCTTCTCACCAGCCTTGCTAGCAGGGTTGAGAAAGAAAAGGAGAGATCTCTCCTACACCATCAGAGTGGTAAAGAACCTCCCACCTCATCTGAGGGAACAGTTGAGGCTCCAGTGATGCCAGTTCTTAGGGGCGGATTTTTCAGAAGGTCGGGGCTCCTCTGTAGGCTGCACCCTGGGGTGGCTACAGTCTCCCTGCTCTGCTGCATCAGCTGCCTTGGAGGGAGGTCTCTGGGAAATGCTTTTGTTACCTCCCTGCTCCTGTTTACCTGGTGATTCTGGGAGCCCTCCAGGATGATCAAAAAGGATTAGATGGCAAAGCAAAGCAAACCTGCTTGCTTTTAAATAATGTTATTTCGGGGAAAGGTCCTAACCCCAAAATAAACCACGTTTCAAGCAAGAATTTGAATTCTGACAGCATAATCTAAAGTGCAGGATTTCCCCTTAGGCTCTGTGGGCTTTTTCTGTCAACTCTGGCAGGGATAAAAAGAGTCAGAAGAAGGGGTGTTTATTTTCAGGCCTGTGGCTCATTATTGTTGTTACTTATTATTTACTAAGCTTTTCTGAGGTGAACTAAAAATGGAAAAGGAAGCTCAGCTCTCTTTCTCCGTCTTTTCTTTCTTTCTTTTCCCTATTTCTGGAGGATCTATAGTGTTTCAGAGCTGTGTCCCTCACCTTTATTCCTTTCAACATCAGCTTCTCCATTTCTGCCTGACCCAAAACCCAACTCTACTAAAAAATTTTTTAAAATTTTCTTTGTTTACATCTATAAATTTGGCCTCATCCTAAAACAACCAAAGATTTGATCATTAAGTTGCATATCCCATTCTCCCAACTCCCACCCCACTCTTCAATACAGGGTAAGAGAAAAAGTCAACACAATCACAATATGAAGCACCTGCTAAAGTTCTGGGCCTTGGTGGCACCTGCCAGGCTTGCGCTACAAGCCAGTCCCTTTCTAAAAATTTGAGACAGGATTTCACCAAATTGCTCAGAAAGCACTTGAACCTGAAATCCTCCTTAAATGCTGAGATTATAGGTGTGACCTTGCTGGGTTTGGAATTTTTTAAAATTTTGTACTAAGGATCGAACTCATGAGCCTGTACTTGCCAGGAAGGCACTTATGCCACTGAGCTAAATCCCTGGTTGAGATGCTACATTTCTACCAAGCTCCTCCAAATGACACTGATGCTGCTGGCTGACAACCACAATTGAGCAGGCTTTGGGACATGGGCATCAAAACCACTTGTAGATGCTTTTGAAAATGCAGATCCCTGGGTGTGGCCTAGCTGCTAGCTGGGTTCTTCAGGTGTCTTGTGAGGTGACTCCAGGCAATCTGCCTTACCAGGTAGCATTCCAAGGAAGCTCTGAGACTGCCTTAGCACTTCTTTTAGTTTTCTCATTGCTGAGAAAAAAATACCTGATACCCAAAGTTAAAGGGGGAAAGGTTTATTTTGGATCACAGTTTATAGAGGTTTCAGTTCATAGTTGGCTGGCTCCAAGGCAGGTTGGCATGGCAGAGAAGGACATCACAGAGGAAAAACAGTTCATGGTAGGCAGAAGGCAAAAAAAGGAGCAAGCAGCAAGGAACAAACAGTGACCACAACAACCCTCCCTTTGTCCTTTGTATTCTATCCAGGCTACCTGTCCTTAGGGTGGATACAACTCACACCTAAACTGAGGGACCCTTAGTTCTACGAATCAATACTAGCATAACATCCTTAATCCTAGCATCAGATACTCTAGATTCAGCAGATACTCTTAATCCTAGCATCAGATACTCTAGATTCAGCCACCTCCAAAAAGCTCTACCTATGACCACATGAGGCTCTCAGGGGGACATCTAGACACAAGCAATAACAGCACCTACAACATGACACCAGGTATGGAGAGGGAAGGCCTGCCTTAAGGTCATTGCAAATTAGGGACAATTTCCTGTGGCTTGGGCTCTTCCTTCCCTTCCACCTCCATTCAACATGTCAGCAAGACCTTCTGGCTCTTCCTCAATCTGTATTCAGATTTTTTTTTTTTTTTTTTTGTCTTTTTGAGACGGGGTCTCACTATGCAGTTCAGGCTGGCCTCGAGCTCACTTTGTAGCCCAGGCTGGTCTTGAACTCGCAATGATCTTCCTGCCTCAGCCTCCTGAGTGCTAGGATTATAGGCGTGAGCCACTACACCTGGCTTTGTATTCCGATTATCTTTTTTTTTTTGGTCTTTTTCCTTTTTATCGGTACCGGGGATCGAACTGACGACTGCCTGCTTGCAAGGCAGGTGCTTATGCCGCTGAGCTAAATACCCAGTCCCTGTATTCCGATTATCTTTAAAAGACCAGTGAGCAACAGACTTGGAAGCAGAATGAAACCAGACTGGTAAATGTTGACAATTGTTAAAACTATGAGTCCAGTTTATTACATGCCATTTTTGTTTATATTTTAATGTTTCCATAATAAAAAGTTTTACTTTTGAGTCTTAAATCCAATAAATCCACCTCTGGGAATTTATCTTAGTGCACATTTTATTTTTTGTGCATATTTTAAATAAAAAATCTTTATAAGTGAATACATTTTTCAAATAGTGAAAAATTGGGAACACATGAAAGTCTCATAATAGGAAAATGACAAATTATAGGATACCCTTCAATGAGACTTTATATAATTAAAAGCATTTATTCAGGTTATGTATTGGCTAAGAATTATGACATACTCTTGTTTTTTTTTTTTTTTTTACATTGTTTCCTGCATGGTTAATATGACATACTCTTAAACAAAAACAAAAACAAAAAAAAACAACAAAAAAAAACAAGACATGAAGATGTACATGATGCCTGATTAAAACTTTGCAAAGATTTAAATCTTTTGAAAAAGACTGAATTATAAAAATGTTTTTAAAAATTATTTTTATTTAAAAATAATGCAGTGGCATCTGGCTTTTGGGAGAAGAGGGTGCTGGCATTTCAGTCAGGGAGAGCTAAACCCCCTGGACTCTCACCTGCACCCACGCCACAGACCCCATACCCTTTGCTTTCACTCCTCTCTCCAACCCCCTTTCCACCTGCCAACCAGAAGGACCCTTTGGATATACAAATCAGATCATCGCCTTCTTTGGTTCAGAACCTTGCAAGGTATCTTTCCAACTAAAAGCCAAGTCTAGGCCTCAGCCTAACCCTGCAGGCTGCTGGAGCATCACCTGGTCATCTGGTCTGCTGCTCCTGGCTCCTTTCTGCAGCTCAGGCTCAGATGCCAGCCTCAGTGTGCTACAATGTGCATTTTCTCTCCATAAGGCAGCTTTTCTCCTTATCTAAGGCAAATCCTCTCATCCCATGCTGTTTCTTTTCAGAGCACTTATCACTACCTCTCAGTACACTTTTTTTTTTTTTTTTGGTACCAGGGATCAAACTCACAACCTCGCACTTGCCAAGCCGGCACTTACGCCACTGAGCTAAATTCCCAGCCCAAGAACACTTTTTTTTTTTTAATTATGCCTTCCACTTTCTAGATTGCAAATCCTTCAAGAACAATGACTGAGGATCATGGCACATAGTAGATGATCAATACTTGTTAAATGAGAAAATGCTAAATTAAAGGGCCAAGTAAGCTCCATGTCATGGGCTGTTTCTTACATGACCTCTTCCTTCCAAAAACCCAGCAGTGGCAAATACACAGCACGTGCCCCGTAGAGACCAAGGTAGCTGATTTTTTTTCCAGCAGAGGCCTCTTCAAGATGCATTGTGAAATGCATCCTGTGAACTGAGGGTAACAGAGTACAGTGGCTAATGGCCTGGGTTTGTGAGGACAAATACTTGTTTAACATAACCAGTGCACAGCTTGGGGGACATGAGAATTCTCCAAGCTGTTTTCCCTTGTGCAGAAAGACAAGGACAATAGTCACTACTTCACAGGCTGGGATGGAGATTAAACAAGAGAATGCCTATAAAGTGCTTGACAAGCACAGTGCCTGGCATGGAACAGAGGTAAAGAAGCAAATTAATCAATAGCTACATATGTGCCTTTGTCTCCTTCAAGTTTACACTGTGGTTTTAAATACGTAAGTTTTAGCTGATTTGAGCTTTCAACAACCTGCGGATTTTATTACCACTTTACAGGTGAGGACGCAGAGTCAAGGAGTAAAATGCTTGCCCACAAAGCACACCCGAATCTGAGCACTCCACTGGCCTCTCTCCTAAAACACAAGCCAGCAATGCTGCAGATACTAATTCAGATGATTTGGATGTGGGGAGGAGCCACAGACTCGAGTGTGTACTTATTGTAAAGCTAAGAATGCAGAGGAATGCAGAAATAAACTTGGCCAGTGAGCCATGCTTTCACAACATAGCTCCCCAGTCTGTGGCCCTTCCTCTGGAGGACAAGTCTGGACAGATAAGCTGTCTCTGCTAGGATTAAAACAGTTCACTGTTTTCCCAAGAGGGAAAACTATGCAAGTGTTTTCTGAGGTTTCTCCTGCTTAGAGTCGGGTGATAGCTCTGTCGGGAGATAGCTCTAGGCAGCAATGCTGGCTTTGGCACTGGAAATCCTCCCACCACCTCTGACCTCTGACTCATTGTACTCTGGACAACAAAGGATTTCTTTTCACAGCCCGTTAAGGGAGACCTCCAGAATGAAGCTCTGGGCCACCTTTCTAGGATCTAAGGTGAAGGAAGGTCACAGCAGCGAAGAGATCCACAGGTGCTGGATATGGAACTTTAGAACCACAAGGTTAAAAAAATCGCAGGTTCTCTGGTGGTGTGGGTTGTAAGAATCTGAGAGATACCTTTTTGATTTTTATCAGTACCGGGGATCGAACTCACGACCACCTGCTTGCAAGGCAGGTGCTTATGCCGCTGAGCTAAATCCCCAGCCCCAAACCTCATGATTCTAATACTTCAGTGCCTCATGGCAACAGCAGAGATCACACTCCATGGGAAGGGCCAAAGGCTGCTTCCAACTGGGAATTCAGATGGCTCCTGGGTTCTTGGGCATCTTCGCCATGTCAGAGGCTTGGCAGGCACTCCTCCGGGGACAGATGGTGTGAGGGCTCCAGCTGCAGGACTGGGGCTGACAGAACAGGCTCTGGACACCAACCAGGCCCTTGGAGAGCGTGGCCTCAGAGGGTCCTGTCAGGCATCAGCGACCAAGACTGAGAGAGACAGCATGGTCTCCTACCTTGGTAGCGTGTGCTCCTCGCAGAGAATGTGCTTGTGAGTGGCACCTGGCTGCCCTTGACTGCACAGCACCATGACTGACAACTGCCGTCTGCTCGTTGCTTCGATGGAGGAGAATGTCCATACCCCAACACCTGGCAATGGCCTTGCAAGTAGAATGACAAGGCTCTTGCCAGGCAGTGGAGACAAGTGGGGGCCACTGGGAAAAGTGGCTAATTGACCTACTCCAACCTGGGTTCATTCACATTTCAGTTAAGGTCACTTTACATTTCTATGCTAACAGACTTGACTGAGTTTTAAAAATGAGAGAGTTATAGGGCAGTCATGACCTTGTATCAAAACTATAAAAATCTCTATATAAAAATTTCTCTGGAGAGAGTTAAGCATCTCAGGCTCTTCAGAGAAGGGCAGATGAAAAGAGAATGTTGGACTGCTCTGCTGAGCGGAGAAACAGCAAGAAGCACATGGGATGGAGCGACATTTGGGCCCTTCGGAGCTTGGAAGCCCTGTGCCGGGTGATGGAAAGTCTTCCTCCAGGAAGTCCCTGGGACTGTCCTCCATCTCTGACAGGCAAGAAGAGGAGCTTGCAGTTCTGGGAGCACCTCTGGCTGTCAGGGACCCCGCTGAGACGGGTCCCATGCCCCGGCCAGCATCAGAACTCATCCCGCAGCTGAGGGGGCCTGTCCATGCCGAAGAAAGAAGATGGCCTTCCTTGAAGATCCCGCTCGCGCTTCACGAAGGCAGTGAAAGAGGACACACAGTTGCCAATAAAGTGGTCAGCTTGGCCAAGGATGTACAGGTCAACCTGGGCCACCTCTGGCTTCAGACTCACCACCTTAACCTATAAGAGGAAGGCAGAGCACATGAGCTAAAGTGACTGCAGGCCAGGTGCTCCTGGCTGAGGTCCCCGGCTTCATGCTCTCAACCTTCCTCCCCGGGCTAAGGGTGCGGAGGGAAGGAGGAGTGGGCAGCAGGGACAGGCAGAGTCAGGTATCTGAGCAAAGCACTGGCCACCTGCTGCCTCTCCTCAGGCCTCAGCTTCTCTTCTACCATTCACAGCTCTGTGCCTTTGCCTGCAGGGTTACCCCTGACCTAGTACCTTTCCTCTATCCATTAAAATCCTGACAGGTTGTGGTGTGGCTCAGGGTTAGTCAGATTAGTTAGCAGGCCTGAGTTCAATCAGCACACATGCACATGTGTATGTGCATATGCTGTGTGTGCGCGTGCACACGCACACACACACACACACACACACACACACACACACACAGATCCCGAGCAGGCTCTCAAAGCTCAGCACACATTCTCTCATTCTCACAAAGCCCTAGCCTGATGGGCTTCTCCGCCAAATCTGAGGTTGGAGCAGACAGCCCACCCATCCGGTTCTGCTGCCTGGATGCCTCCCTCTCCTACACACCTACTCCAGGCCTAAAGTCCTGTCTGTCCCATTACCCTGTTCCAGTCACCACCCACCCCAGAGGTGAATCCTTCCAATGAGGGATTGGCGCCCCAAGAGCCCAGCCACCTTCACCTTGGGTCCAATCAGCTATCACAGCTGCCTCACTGTCTCTCACTGCCTCTCTACAGAACTGACAAAGGAAACTATAAACATGCTTTGTTTTGTTTTGTTTTGAAAGGCAGGCGCTTATGCCGCTGAGCTAAATCCCCAGCCCTGATTTTTTTTTCTTAAGACAAAGTTTTGCTAATGTAACCCAGGCCAGCTTCAAACTCTTGATTTTTGGCCTCTGGCTCCCCAAGTGCTGGGATGATAGGTATGTGCCACCATGCTGGCAGGCTAGGACATTTTATTTCTCAGTATTCTTGACAGGTCACTGGCCTAGTGACACAGAGGAATGAAACTTAATTCAGAAGGAAGGGCGGGGCCTGAGCCCAGGGAGAAGGGGCTGAGCAGGGGTGGGGACAGGCGAGAAGAATGGCCTAGGAACAGGAAACAGAAAATGGCAAGAAGCTCGAGGTGCCACAAACACTTCAACTCTAAAGCTCACCGAAAAACTCCCCGGGACTCTCCAAGTGCTTCGGCTTAGTACAGAGGTGAGGAGGGGTGTGGGCAGACAGAGCAGAAAGTGCTCTGCTGTTCCACTGAATTTCTGATATAAGAAAAACCATGAGCTTGCTACTGGGGTTGTAGCAAAGAAATAAAACCAGTTTAATCATGGCCAAAATCCCCCAAACAATTCCACCTACACCCTGAAACTTACCCAGTCTGTGTCATGCCCACTATAATTAGCGCTGGGACCTCTTGGGTAAATTCAATCCCTTCTTGAGACTTTGGTTTTTTCAGTTACAAAATGGAAGAGTGGAATGAAAAGATACCCTCGTCTCCCAGCTTGATGTTGTAGCTATTAAATGGGTGGGTAGGGGACCAGACTGCCCTGAGCCAACACTTCTACCAGCAGGCGCTTCCTGTACGTGTGTGTGTGTGTGTGTGTGTGTGTGTGTGTGTGCGCGCGTGCGTGCACATGGGCCAATAAAGGAGAAGGCAACAGCTCTCAGGGTCAGCTTCTTACGGTTTTCCCAACATTTACAGTTTTCACTCACTTAATAAAGTCTTACTGAATGCTTATATTAATTCAGTCTTTTTTTCTTTTTCTTTTTTGCTTACAGTATAAGCGATTGAACTCAAGACTTCTGCCCTGAGCTACATTCCCAGCCCTTTTAAAATTTTTTTTATCGTTATTATTATTATTGTCTTTTTGAGACAGGGTTTCATTATGCAGTTCAGGCTGGCCTTGAACTCACTTTGCACCCCGGGCTGGCCTTGAACTTGCAGCAATTCTCCTGCCTCAGTCTCCAAATGTTGGGATTATAGGCAAATGCCACCATGCCCAGCTAAATTTTTTGCTACTGAGGATCAAACTCATGACCTCACACTTACCAGGAAAGTGCTTGTGCTGCTAAGCTAAATCCCTGGCCCTAAATTTTTTATTTTTATTTTGAGACAGGGTCTCTAAGTTGCCCAGGTTGAGTTTGAATTTGTGATATTTCTGCCTCAGCCTCCTAGAGTGCTGGGGTTACAGGTGTGCCCCAACACACCTGGCTCAGAATCAATGCTCTTCATCTCTCTACCTTACTGGATCTCTTCTCAAGGCCCATTCCCCCATGTCCTTACTCAACAAGTTAGATACTATGTGTCTGGCACTGTCCTGTGCTCTGGTGCTTGTGAGAATGTGAGGAAGGGCTCAGGTTTCAAGAAGTCAGAGCACCAGTCTAGATATCAAAGGAAAAGAGAGTGGTTCATCCTTGAATACCACCTTCAAGAAGCCCATACTGCTTGGATGAAATAAGCCACAATTCCACACTAGTCTCAGTCAATCAAGAAAATGCCTCAAGAGAAGACAAAAATTGTTATATGAGCTATAGGATCAGAGGGAAGCCTAGAAAGCATCTGTGGAGGGGTCAGAGCTGGGCTAGCGACGGGATGGGACCTGGAAAGAAATGCATGTCCAGGAAAAGGCCCAGTGCAGGGGAGGACAGGAAGTGTATAGCAGGAGGGCGGGACCAGCTGGCACTTTCTTGCCTTGGGCCCTTGCCCACATGTACCTTGTCTTTGAAGAGCTGCTGGATCTCCGGTGCATAGCTCTCGGAATCAGTGGCGATGTAGACTGACTGAGCATTCAGCACCCTCACCCAGAGCTTTACAGCCCGCCGGATTTCCTTCAGGTCAGGGAGGCACATGGTCATGGTAAGCGGGGCTGCTGTGCTGCGGCTGTAGCCCACACACTGTGGGGAGGCCATAAAGTGCGAGCCCGCGGTGCCGTCCTTCAGCATAGCACAGGCGTTCTTCTATGAGGAGGGCGGGTACCACGTTAGACAGCAGCAACTGCCTGGACCCCAGGAGAAGCAACCGCTGTGTGGGAAAGACAGGATATACAGGAGAAGCCCAACCACTGGCTTTTTTTTTTTTGGTTCTAGGGATTGAACCTAGGCCAGGGCCTCCTCCATGCTAAGCCATATTCTACCACTGAGCTACAATCCCCTCCCCAATTCCCAACTATATTTTTTAAAGTATTAATGGAAGAAGGAAATGCATCAAAATAGTAATAGTAGTTATTTCTGAATTGGTAGGATGTTGGTTTTGCAAAACAATTTTTTTTCTGGGTCTCACTGCGTTATCTGGGACATTCAGTATAATTGTGAACGGTGGTGGTGATAAGGGGCAGCTTATCTGATTCCTGACTTCAGTGGGGACACTTCTGATAGCTCCCCATGAGGTACATGTTTGCTGTGGGCTCCAGAGAGATAGCCTTGGGCAGCACATATACAGAGAGATAGCTTTATCAAGTTAGGGTGGGTCCATTCTATTCTTGGCTGGTTAGGAGGTTTTATCATGAATGGGTATTGACTGTTATCAAATGCTTTCTTGTCCTCTACTAAGATGATCATATGATTTTTTTCTTCTTTGGGTGTTAATACTATGAACTTCATCATATTCTTGGGGTAGATTTTACTTGTTTAAGTTGTATGACTTTTTTGTGTGTGGTGGTGGTAGTGATGATACTGGTGATTGAACTCAGGGCCTTCAACTGAGCTACATTCCCTGCCCCACTATTTTGCCCATGGTGGGGGAGATGGACAGTCTTGCTGAGTTACCCATTCTGGACTGGAATTTGCAATCTTCCTGTCTTAGCTTCCCAGACTGCTAGGATTAGAGGCAAGCGCCACCATGCCCAGCATTGAGTTGCATATTTAGTATATTATTGGGTTTTACTTTTAATATTTTTCTTTGGATCTGTGCATCTATATTTATAAGTGAGAATGGTTATAATGTTCTGAGTAGATGTTACTGTTATGGTATCTTTGTAAAAAAAAAAAAGTAGCAATTTACTATCATTTGTTGTTCCTACAACATAATGGGAGCTACTCCTTAAAGTTTTAGCTAAAACCATTCATAAAATATTTGAAGCCTAGCTCTTTTTCCTTGGAGCAGAGGGCAGGATTATATCATCAACTGACTATGAATACATTTTAATCTAATTTTCTCATGCTTCAATATTTAAAAATTTTCAACAATGAGCATTTCCAACAAATATACAAATTTCTTCATGTACATTAAGGTGGCCATTTATGTTGGCTCTATTATTTACACAAGGAGGGTAATCTGGTAAGGATTCTGCCCAGTCAAGCACCATCTAAATTCTGGGAGAATGGCATGTTCATTTCTTGGGGAAACCCCACTCAATCTCCATAATTCATTTTTCAAGAAGCAGTCTACTAGCTAAGTAATGATCTGGAACAGAGAACTCCTAGGTTAGGGGGTCTCTTTCTTTTCTTTTTTTTTTGAGACAAGGTCTCATATGTACCCCAAGTAGGCCTTGAATTTGTAGTGATCTTCCGCCTCAACCTCCTGAGTGCTTGGATTACAGGCATGCACCACCATGCCCAGATGAGGGTCTCTATTTTGCTGCTTGACTTGGGATCTGGCCCATCCCTCAGTTTTTCCATCTGTAAAATGAGGACACAACTGGCAGCTGTTAAAAATGAAAGCTGGCCAGCAAACACCTTGAAGTCACACTTCTGACATGAGCTTCGCTGGGATCATAAGACATAATCCCACAGACTTGGCCAAATGAGTGCTTTCCACAGTGGCTGGGGACTCAGGGCATTCTCATAGGGATGGGCCAGCCAGGGAGAGGAGGAAGTTACCCAGTCAGAGCCGATGCGCAGATGAATGCCCACATAGGGCCGGATGAGGTGGGTGTGGATATGGGCCTCTCCCGTCTTCACCATTTCATCTGACCATACCATGTACTTCTGGAGCGATCTGTGTTCCTCCAGGACAGGGAACTGTGCTGGAGCCCCTGGCAGAGCGAGCACTGGATGCTCCTTTGGTGAAAATCTAGGCATGAGATGGAACAAACGGAAGTCAGACAGAGGACACAGAGAACCAGGCTACCACCCCCACGGGAAAAGGGTGGCATTGCACCATGCCCCAGAGATCCTGCAGAGGAGCCCCTGTAACATGCAAGAAGCCCAAGAGGTTGTGAAATCACAATGAGCTGATAAGAAACCCTGGCAATGGTAGCAGGCACAATATGCAATACTGTCCCGCCACATGGAATTTACAACCTTCTTTGCTTGTTCAACAATTAAAAATTTACAGTAGAGCATTCCAACTTTTTATATGTCATGCTGGCTTCCAATCTGTGGTGTGGTAATTCGTTCCAAGGTGGGGTGTCTGGACCAAGCCTTTGCCCTTTTACCCACATGGCGGGACTGAGACGTGCAGCTGCTTACTGAGGCCAACGGCTGGGACTGTGTACCCTGGATTAGACCATTCAGCACTTATCAAATATTTACAGATTCCTACTGTGTACTGGGACCCAGGAAGAATGAGACTGGCATGGTCCCTTTCCTCATGGAATATACCAAAGGCCTGCAAATGTCTCTGTCATATCCTGTCAAGACTTATTTTCTCCCCATTTATACACTGTGCATTTCACAATTATTTCACAGCTGTCTTTTCTGTTGGACTGAGGCCCCTGGAGGCAGCACTTCTAATGTGCCTAGAATAGAGCCTGGCACAGGTAGGAGCTCCCTCTTCAGCTAAACCCAGACTCCAACCAGCAATGTAACACCTTGCTGATCATGAACTCACACTGTATTCTCAAACTCTAGATCTTTGTATACTTCCTCCCTCCAGCTGGAATAACCTGTCCTGGCCAGTCAAATACTTTCTCTAAGCTTTATGCAGTAGAGACAGTGACTCTAAAAAATAGTGTGGCAGTTTTTTTATTATAAAACTAGGCATGTGATTACCATATTACCTAGCAATGGTATCCTTGGGCATTTATTCCAGGGAAATGAAAGCTTATGTTCACATACAAACTCGTACACTAATGTTCATAGCAGCCTGACTCAACTCATAGTAGCCCAAACTGGAAACAACCCAGATGTCACTCAATGAATAAATGATGCAACAAATTGTGTGGCACATCCATACCAGGGAATATTACTGCAATAAAAGGAATAAGTATCAACACGGGCAATGACTTGGATGGTTCTCAAGGGAATTATTCCAATTAAAAAAGTCAATTCCAAAAGGTTATATACTATATGATTCCATTTATGTGATAACGAAATGACAAAATGGAGAAGAAAACAGAAATGGAGAAGAGATTAGTGGGTATCACAGGTAGGGATGGTATGTGTTTAGGGAAGTGAGTGTGGTTATAAAATGGTAACACAAAGATTCTTACCCTGATAGAACCATTCAGTACTTCAACTGTGGTGATGAAAAGATTAACCTATACACAATACGACTGCACAGAAATACATACACACGTGAGTACAAGTAAAACAGGAAATCCATCTAGATAGATGGGTTGTATCAATGCCAATATCCTGGTTTTGATACTGTTTTACAGTTTTGCAAAATGGCACTATTGGTAGAAACTGGGTAATGGAGACATTAGGTCTCTCCATATTGTTTCTGAATCAACAATTATTACAATAAAAATTTGAAATAAAAATTATAGAATATTTCAAATTATAAAGCAAATATAGAGAATAACGATCCACATACCCATGACTCAAGTCACCAGAAGTTAGTATTTTGCTTTGTTTCAGACTTTAAAAAAAAAAAAAAAAAATCCATCTAAATATCCTTGTTTCCTTTTTTTCTTTCCCTTCCCAAAAGATGTTTTTTTTCTGCATGGTTACACTTTCCTAGTTATCTATCTGCTCATCTATCTATGCCTGTCAATTATGTATGCCTTAGATTCACTTATCTTAACTGTTTAGTAGCACTATAAGACTTCCCACTTTGGGGGCTGGGGATTTAGCTCAGCAGCTTAAGCGCCTGCCTTGAAAGCAGGCAGTTGTGAGTTCAATCCCTGGTACAAAAAACTTCCTATTTCATAAGGCTGAATATTATTATTATTTTTAGGGGGCAGTGGTTCTGGGAACTGAACCCAGGACCTCTGAATTGAGCTACCTCACCAGACCTGAGACAAGGTCTCACTAAGTCACTAAGTTACCCAAGGGGGGCTTGAACTTGTGATCCTCTTGCCTCCGCTGTTGGCATTACAGGTGAGTGCCACCATGCCCAGCCTAAAGCTGTTTTTCTTTAAAAATGTATACATTTAATGTGTACAACATGTATATAAATGATTAGCACAGTCAAGCCAATTAATATGTCTTCCTAGAATTGCTGAGAGAATGAAAGAGTGAGAAACCTTACTAAAAGGGTCAGAGCACACTGTCAGGCATTGGAGAAGGAAGGAATTAGGTTTATCTGAGCATCACTATGGCCAGACCTAAAATCCAGCTCCCTTCGGATGACCTCTAAAGACTGAAAGGAAAGCAAGAATTTTTCTTATCTTCCAGGACATTGGATGATCAGGATAAGATCAAGATTTGTGTTCTCCTTGATTTCATGGGAAGAACCTGCAGCTGATTCTTGAAGAATCAGACAGATTTGGACTGTGTGTCCCTCTGCCCAGGTCAGTACCTGGGTGTAACTGTCAGTTCTGGCCCAATAAGCAACAAGAGACCAAGACTGAGCTGTTTGTTCATTTGCTTTTAGTGAGGCCAAAGAATGTTATGTGGAAAGAAAACAGGGAATAGGGGCCTTGGTTACAAGGAAAACTTGATCAGCGAGTTGGCACCTATCTACCCTAGGTCAGTCCTTAGAAGCTGCCTTTCCTGCTGCTCGCCCTGGAATTTTGCACTGCTGCACCACGCTGAGAGACTCCACGCACAGCACCCACTCATACATCCAGTGCACATTCACGAGACTGTGGAGGAACACCATGCTGAGTGCAGAGGCCCAGAACATGCACAAGGCAGGCCCTGAAGTCCTTCCCTCTCCTCCCGCTCTCTGCAGGGCTCGCTCCCTCTCATCCTTTAGCCTCAGTCTGGTTTCAGCCTTGCTAATTATTTATTACCTGTTTATGTGGCAACAGGGAGGCTGCAGTCTGGAAAAAAGATAAGCCGTGAACTCAAATACTTGTGCTATCTTTGTCCACCTGAAAGGCTCAACAAGATGGGCCACAGTTTTCCGACAGTAACTGAGCAATAAATGCCAATCGAATTAAAGCTCCACAATGGTATTTATAGATGTAGAACCAACAAAGCAGGAAGGATTTCTTGGAAGTCATTTGTTGGGGGAAAAAAGTCCCTTTTATCTTCTTCTAGAATTCAGCTTTCATCTAGATACACAGAAGCCCAAAATAAGGACATTTCACTTTACATCTTGCAGGTAGGTCTGGCCCATGTGCCTCTCCACTAACCAATGAGATTGGGTTATAAGTTGGTGGGGGCAACACTTCTTAAAAAAGGGGCTGTAGGGGCTGGGGATTTAGCTCAGCGGCATAAGCACCTGCCTTGCAAGCAGGCAGTCGTGAGTTCGATCCCCAGTACCGATAAAAAGGAAAAAGACAAAAAAAAAAAGGGACTGGGAATTAAACTCAGTGGAGGAACACCTATCTAGCAAGCAAAATGCCCTGGGTTTGCTCCTCAGCGACAAAAACATTTTTAAAAAATGGATAACAGGCACACATGACCAATCTTTTTTTTTTTTAAAAAGACTTCTTTAAAAAGGGAGGAGAACTGGGTAGCTGGGTATAGTGGCACGTCCCTGTAGGCCCAACTATTTGAGAGGCTCAGGATCATTTGAGCCTAAGAGCAGGTCAGACTGAGCAACACAGTGTGACCTTGTTTCTTTAAAAAAAAAAAAAAAGCTGCAGCTGTGCCCTTCTTCTGCCCCTTCTATCTCCTGAGTTGCCTAGGATGTGATGGCTGGAGCTTTACCTGCCATCCTAGCCCAACAGGTAACACTGAAAATAAGTCAGTACAAAGAATGAATGGAAATGCACGAACCAGATTTCTCATGACACTGTGGAGGTGCCATCCTGCCCTAGATATATACTCTAATACTTCTTCTTCTTTTTTTTTTTTTTTTTTTTGTCTTTTTGAGACACGGTTTTACTATGCAGTTTAGGCTGGCCTTGAACTCACAGCAATCCTCTTGCCTCGGCCTCCTGAAGATTACAGGCATGTACCAATATGCCTGGCTCTACTTCAGTATTTCTTTTACAGAAGAAAAAAATGTTGTTCACTTACTGTTATTTTGGGTGTTCTGTTACATGTATCCTAACTTAATCCTAATGTACCTAGACTTGTAGCTTATAAATTTCCTTTGCCTTACTTGGAGCCCTGACATGTGTAAGGGTCAATGGTTAAGGTAGGGAGGAGGAACTGAAACCTCCAACTGGGTTCCTCTGCAAAGGTGCTTTAGGTACTTTACCTCATCAAAGGGAAGGGAAGGTAGGTAGTCTAAAGATGACTCATTACAAGAAATTAAATGATTAGCCTGGATTTGAACTTTGGGCAACTCAAGAACTGGCCAAGAGCAGTGATGCACACCTGTAATCCCAGCTAGTTAGACTGAGGCAGAAAAATCATTTGAGCTCAGAAGTTCAAGACTAGCCCAAGCAATACAGCAAGACCCACATCAAATAGCAACAACAAGTGGTCATCAAGCCTTCGGATCTTCTGCCATAGGTGGGCTTTATGTCACCTCAATAGTATTTTTATTTTCTTGAACCAGAAATTGAATTCAGGACCTTGCACTTGCCAGGCAGGCACTATGCTACTGCGCCATATTCCTGACTCCCTAAGAGTATTTATAGCAGTAACGATCAGCCAGTTTCCAACCCCAGACATTGTGGGCCAGCAGGTTCCACTCCCTCTATCTTGGGATACTGCCTGGATATTCCCTCTCAGAATCCAGCTCTCACACTGTGAGAAGTCTAGGCCAAGCTGGGTGTGGTGGCACATGCCTATAATCTCAATACTCCTGGAGGCTGAGGCAGAAGGACTGCAAGTTTGGGTCTAGTTTCAACAATTTGGTAATTTAGTGAGACCCTGCCTCAAAACACAAAATAAGGCCAGGGACAGAACTCAGAGTAAAGACCATGGATTCGGTCTTCAAGATTTAAAAAAAAAGGTGGTGGGGCAGAGGTTACAAGTAAACACATTCAAAGGCTAATGGTATTCTTTGGAGGTGTCATGGAATTATGAATAAATTTAAATCATTTATTAAAAAATTATCCTCATCAAAGGGAAGGGAAGGTAGGTAGTCTAAAGATGACTCATTACAAGAAATTAAATGATTAGCCTGGATTTGAACTTTGGGCAACTCAGAATCCATAAAAAACAAAAACGTTTGCCATGTTAAACTGAGTTAATCCACACAATCATAAGAAATAGTAATAAATTGCTGTTATGCTACAAAGCTTTGGAATGATTATGTAGCAACAGATGACAGCAACATCTTAACATTCTCCTCCTCCTCATTCCACATCAAGGGCACAGGACTTTCTATGCCTTGATCATCCCAAGGCTGTTGCTATGTTATCAGGACCTTTGATTGTAATGTCCCCACTTGAAACTACCTCTTCCAGCTCTTGGTACAGCTGGCTCCATCTTGTCCTTCAGGTCTCAATTTTACCCATTGCATTTTATCATCCAACATTCCGGAACCATTCTCCTGCCTCAGCCTCCCAAGTAGCTGGGATTATAAGTAGGTGCCACTGCATTCCATTAGACTGTGAGGTCCATCAGGGCCTGGGTCCCACCTGCCTTCTTGTTGCCCATATCCCCGATATCCAGAGAGGATCAATGTCTGACACTCAGGAAGTACTTCTGAAATTGTGTTGAAGGAAGATATCTGGGGGCTCTAACTCCCTTGTACTGCCTCCAGGGACCATTAGTTGTCTTTTCTTAGAAATGTGGTGAAGGTACAAACTTCCTCAAGTTCTAGTGAGAGAGGTTCTTTCAAGTCAGTGAATTCAAGATAGATCACAAGGTAATGAGCAAACGTGTACACAACATTCCCCAACTGAGGCATCCACACATCCCTTTTCTTCTAACTAGGGTGTATGGGTGAATGGTGGATTTACTGATTGGTTGACTGAGACAGGGTCCCACTATGTAGTACACACAGGTCTTGAACTCATGATCATCCTCCCTCAGCCTCTCCAATGTTGAGGTTATAGATGTGTACTGCCACATCTGGCTTTTGTTTCTGACTTTCTGAAACTAATTTTTGAAGATGTTTTTAGAACTGGAGACATTTTTTGGTCCTTGCCACTGATGACAGGGGCAAATCTCCCACCCTCTTAGGCAAGTCAGCCTCTGGCAAGGGTTCTGGGTCATTTGGAAGTGAACAGGGAAAATCAAGCAAGTGATCCAATGGGAGAGTCCTATCTAGCTTCAACATGATGGAGACCAGATCTGCCAGGACTGAGCAGCCTAAATGGTTTATGCACTAGCTCTAAAGACAAGTCCCAGAAGACATGCACAGCTGCTAAGGGAATAGACATTTAATCCACAGCGATTAAGAACGGCACTCTGAGGTGGGAATGGTGGTGCACACCTGTAATTCCAGTACTCGAGGAGGCTGTTAGTGACTTAGTGAGACTTTTTCTCAATATAAAAAGTGGGCCAGGGATGTAGCTCAGTACAAATGTCTTGGGTTCAATCCCAGAAGCATAAATGAACAAAAAAAAAGTTTTTTTAAAAAAAAATTTTGTTTTTGGTTTTGGAGACAGGATCTTGCTATGTAATTCAGGCTGACCTTAAACTTACTTGTAGCCCAGGCTGGTCTTGAACTAGGATTGATTCTCCTGCCTCGGCCTCCCCAGGAATTATAGGCATGTGCCACCACACCTGGCTGAATGGGTATTGTGCAGCTCAGCACACATTTATAATTCTAGCTACTCAGAAGGCTGAGGCAGGAGGATCACAATTTTAAGACCACCATAGTCAACTTAGCAAGATATCAAAATACAATGGGCTGAGGTGTAGTTCAGTGGTACACCCCTAGTGGGTTCAATTTCTAGTACCAAAAAGAAAGGAAAAAAATGGGTACTTTGCAATCAGACTGCATGGGTTCAAAAGATAGTTCTGTTTCTTCTTATAAGCATATGACCTTGGACAAATGATTACTCTCCCCTCACTTTCCATCTCTTTTCCTTTCTCCCCACTTCCCTTTCTCTCTTCCTATTTCCTCATGCATGGTAGGCAAATGCTCTATCCTCAAGTCACATGCCCAGCCCTTTCATAATTTTTTGGAGACAGGGTTACACCAAATTGCTCAGCCTGCCTTTGAGTTGTGATTCTCCTGCCTCAGCCTCCCAAGTAGCTGGGATTATAAGTAGGTGCCACTGCATTCAGCTCCTGCTTCCATTGTTTTGGTTTGTTTTGAAGTCTTCTGAAACAGTGTCTCACTATGCAGTCCAGGTTGGTCTGGCATTCACCAAATAGCCTAGGCTAGCCTCAAACTCATAGTTATCTTCCTGTCTCAGCCTCCTGCTAGAATTACAGATGTGCACAGCCATATCCAGTATTACTTTCATTTTGTTTATGTGTAAAGCACAGATGACATCACCTATCCTACAGATTTATGGAAAGATCAACCCACTAGAATGGTAGCATATGCCTATACTTGGGAGGCTGAGGTAGGAGGATCTTGAGTCCAGAGCTAGTTTGGGCAACACAGTGAGTTCTAATCACAAAAACAATCACAAGTCACAATACCTGTTAAGACTTAGAATAGTCTTCTAAGCAGGCACTAAATAAAAGCTCATTATTTATTAAAGATTTACATGTAGGCCTGAATTGCCCATGCAACAGCTCTCTGACCTTGGACAAGTTACTCAATTTCACTAACCTCAGTTTCCTCATTTGTAAAATGGAAATTGAGACTTGGTGTGTAGCTCAGCGCTATCGCACTTGCCTACTATGTACAAGCACAAAGTTTTGGATTTAATCCTTGGTACCACACACCAAAAAAGGAAACTGATAACAATAGGAAATGACTAACAGTGGCTGCCAACTCTGGTGGACTCTTCCTATGGGCTGTGAACACTATGCACTACAAGGCAGATCCCATTAAGTGCTCTTTTCATCAAACCAAGGAGAAAACTGGGGCCAGAGAGCTGGAGTGGCTGATTTAGTCTCTGGAAAAGGAGCTGGGTCAAACATCAGGCCTTTTTTGTTTGTTTGTTCGTCTGGTTTTAGACAGGCTCTCTTTACGTAGTTCAGACTGGCCCTGAACATACTATGTAGCCCACGCTGGCCTCAGACTTGGACAATCCTCTTGCCTCAGCTTCCCATGTGCTAGAATTCCAGGCATGCACCACTGTGCCTCGCAGAGCTCAAGACTTCTTACTCCTGAGCCTGTGCCTGTTTTCCTACTGAATGCCAAGTGCTGTGACCACACCTCAATTCGCATGCTCCTCGTACCTCCTGACCCAGCTTGCACCTGCGCCCAGCTCTTCTGCATGAATGGCAAGGACACCATGTGAGTTATCATCACTAAAACTCAGCAGCAGCTCTTTTTTTTTTTTTTTGGCAGAAATATATTTAATAGTATTTTAATGTTTGACAGTTATTATAAATTAATTTTTATAGTTCAGATGATAAGTACAATTCAGGGAACCCTATGATTATTTGGTATTGGGATATTCAGATGTATGTGTTACAGAGGGAGATTCTAATTCAAAAGGGAAAAATTATAACCAAGTTAATGGAAAACAGTATTGGTTTAAGATGGACTCCTAATAATCCTCATGAAAGGTATTAAAGTATATTCCTTTATTACAAGAGTTACATAGAAATATTAATTAAATCTAGAAACAGTGTTTTCCACAAAAAAACGTTCCTTGGTATATATTTGCAAGTTGATGTGGATGAAAAATTTGTGAGACTTAAATGACTGGAGTCATTTGACTGCAGGATCAGCAGCAGCTCTTAAAGACAGGCACTGGATCTTCTTCATTTTTTACATATCACCTTTGGCCCACAAATACTGTGCCTCAAACATGACACATGCGCTATAAATACTTCACAGCCTGTGCCCGTGCCCTGCTAACCTATTTCTTTAATAGGGCTCACTGGCACACAATTAATAAGGTACAATCCAGTAATTATCAGGATGACATCACTTCTCTGCACCTGAAGCTGTGCTCTAGGAGTTGCTTCCAATTTTCATGTTGTGAAAAGGAAGGCAACAGGGGAGTGATTCTCACGCCTAGAGGAGGAAATCGAGACACATGTGACTGCACAATGTTCTTTTATGACATCCCTTATCAGCCAATAACTCAAACTCTTGCTCTTGCTCAACCCTGTGGCAGGTCAAGGTTCCAGTGTGTCAGGCGTTGAAAAGGGAACAGATCACACAGGATCCAAGTGCAACAGACAGAGCACCTCTCCCTTTGGTCTCATACCTCAGGGTGGGGTAGAGGGGCAAAGGGTCAGGAACGTGCTGGATGCCCATGAGTCCCGTGTCCCTCCCTGACCCCAGTACTGCCATCCTTTCCAAGTACCTCTGGATCCATTGTTCTTTATAGGAGGCACTGAAGGAAATGCCTGCAAAAAGCTCCGACTTGTTGAAACTCACATGAAACTGATCCCAGAACGGGCCGAAGGGGTTTCCTTCCTGTAGAGAGAGGGTTGCAGAAAGCTTACTGAGGGCGAGGGAAAGCCATCTGGGGAGGAAGGCAGGAACAGTCGGCGGAGGGGACCTGGATGCTTGGACTCTGGCTGAAACACCCTCTCCAACACCCTCTTTGGTTGGCCCCTGGGAGGGGCATGAGGACAGAGGCCTGGCATCTCTTCTGGTTTCCAACAGATGTTTACCCATATTTGAGGGTTTCCTGCTCACTCGCATGTTTGACCTATCCTGATGCCCTTGATGCCCTGGTGGGGCCTAGAAGGAACACAGTTTCAAGAGATTTTCAAGACTGCCTAATGCAGCACCTTTATTTTCAAGATGGAAAGCAAAGCTCACAGAGGGTAAGACACATACTCAAAGTCACACAGCAGTGTTGGGGCCACACAATACATCTCTTTTCTCAAATGTCATGACTCTTATAACCACAATCTCCAATCAGTAGACATTTCTAATAAAACATGACAGCTTCTCACCTCCCTGCTGAGAGGCAGAAAAGTACTGGAGGTAAAAGGGTGGACATGGGAGCCAAATTACGGAGGGTTGAATCGTAGGTCCACTGTGTTTGCTGTGTGACTTTGGGAAAAAGTCTGAATCTCTCTGCCATACTTGGTGTTTGTAACATACAATGGGGATGCGATTAGTACTTTCCCCAAACAGCAGTGTGAGGAGTTAAATGAGTACATGTATTGCTCTTAGCATGATACCTGACATACAGTAATACTATAGAGTATAGTTAGTATTAGTGAGGTGGTATTTTACAGTTTACAAGCACTCTTACACTTGGCCTTCATTATGTTTTATGAACAAGACGGAGCAAGGACTGGCATCTCTATTTTGTGTACTAATAAAGGCTCAGAGAAGCAAAGCCCACCCACAGTGGCACAGGTGAAAAGTGTCAGAAGTAGACTGGAATTTCCATCTTACTCCTCCAAGCCTTTCCGGCGCCTTCTCCCACATATGGCTACCTCTAATCTCAGGGACCGAGAGGACATGGAACAGACAGAAAGGCTCCCCAGCCCACAGGACCTACCTTCATGGGACACGTCTTTTTATCGGGGCTTCGCTGAGCTGCTACCTCAAAGCAGTAGGCCACTCGTTTCTCAGGAGGCCAGTGGGTAGGCGCCAGCTCTTCCATGAAGTCCTCCAGGCTGATGACCCGATGGTAGGCCCTGAGGGGCTCCAGCTTGAAGTACTTCTTGTAGGACACATGCAGCTATAGGAAGAGGAAGGGCAGAGGTCCCTCTTCAGTGTCCCAGTCTTAGATACATTTATTAAAACTAAACAACTCCACGATCCACATAGCTCAAATTACATGGCAACGAAAAACTTTTGCTAAAAGACACCAAAGTGAGCCATGCTTGGTGGTGCATGTCTATAATGTCAGCTACCCAGGACACTGAGGCAGGAAGGTCACAAGTTTGAGATCAGTGTGCGAACTTAGTGAGACCATCTCAAAATAAAAATTAAAAGGGCTGGGGATATAGCTCAGTGGTAGAGTGCTTGCGTAGTAATTGTGAGGTCCTAGGTTCCATTTCTAGCACTACAAAAACCAAAAGAAACCGGATACCAATGTTAGGACAGAGGCAAATTGAGACAAGATATTTGCAAAGCAAAGCACAAATAGTTGTAGTTCTTATGTTCAAAAGTGACAGATGAAGTCTTAAGAAAAGACAAATAATGGGCAAAGGATAAGGGTAAACAACTCACAGTTAAGGAAACCCAAATAACCGGTATACTCAAAGGATGTGCAATGTCACCATGAATTAGAAAAAGCAAATTACAGTTATTACAAGCATCACTTTTCACCTGTGAGACCAATAAGAATTTAAAAGCTAACTCTAACTATTGGTAGAATGTGGGAAAATGGACAGTCTTGTATGTGTCTGGCTATAGAAACGTACACTTTGGTATGCAATCTATCAGTATTAAAAGAATTAAAATAACTGGGTGTGGTGCACAACTGTAACCTTGGCACTTGGGAGGCTGAGGCAAGAGGACTGCTATGGGTTGGTTCAAAGCCAGCCTGGACTACACAGTGAGATTTCATCTCAAAAAACCACACACTAAAGAATTAAAATGCTCTTTCTACTGCTAGGTTTGTACACTTTGCACCAGGAGAAAAGTACAGGGATGCTCAATGCCACAAATGAAGTATAGAGAGAATATGGAAGGGACCACAACAAACATATGCAATCTATTGGAGGGATTGCTGTAGGAGTAGCAAGAGGGACTAGGGTTAACCACAGGGGCCAGGAGAAGCTCTCTTTTAACAACTGTAACTGTAATGCTGTTTTTCTTTTATTAACAAAAAGAAAAGATGAGGCAAAAATCGCTAACAATGATCACTGGGTACATGGGTGGTGGTTGGATTCATCTCTGCATTTTTTTAGATTTAAAAAAACTTCTGGGGCTGGGGATTTAGCTCAGCAGCATAAGTGCCTGCTTTGCAAGCGGATGGTTGTGAGTTCGATCCCCAGTACCGATAAAAAAAAAAAAAAAGCTAAAAAAAAAATTTCTTAGAACACCACAACCTAACATTTGGATTTCATCCTATAGGTCAGGGTTTCCTAAGTATGCCCACCAGTTCAGGTGGATAAAAGGTTTTGCAATAAAAGCATTCTAACGCTGAAGTCTAGGAAATGCTGCTTAAGGTACTTTCTTTACTGCAGTAGGATTTTTTTATGGCTTTAACATGCTCATGTGCATTGCAAATCTGTGAATTTGGGATGATGGAGAATTGAGATTATATCCCCAAACGATTTAACTACAGCACCCTTCCAACAATAGTTACTGATACTCTAACAAGGAGACTTTGAGCTCCTTAACTATCAGCACTGGGGTAGCATAGCTAAAGGATTTTAAGCACACAATTTCCCCCTCCCACCTTCTTTCCTTCCTTCTTTTTCCTTCCTTCCTCCCTTTCTTCCCTCCTTCTTTCTTGGTACTGGGGAATGAACCCAGGACCTTTGTATTAAGCTATATTCTAGGTCCTTTTTTTGCTACCGGGGATTGAACTCACAACCTTATGCTTGCCAGGCAGGTGCTTACGTCACTGAGCTAAATCCCTGGCTCCTTGGTCCTTTTTTTTATCTTGAGACAGCATCTTACTAAATCACCCAGGCTGGACTTGAACTTTTGATTGTCCTGCCTTAGCTTCCCAGGCTGGGATTATACACATGAACCACCACCACCACCCCAGGCAAGTTTTGCCTTTTTTGAAAGATCACTCTGGTAGCAGATTAGATGGTACTGATGCTATGAAAAGGGAGAGGAATTAGGAGGTTACTTTTATTTACTCAAGCGTGCATTTAACATGTATTTGTTGGGCATTTCTACACATCTAAGTGAGAAATTCAGTGTCTTAGAAAGGTAGAAGGAAGGTAACACAGAAGATTTGGGGGCTGGGAGTATATGGAAGGCTCCTCTAAGTTCTTGGCTTGGTACCTATGTGAATGGAAGTGATATAAACTAAGGTTGGGATTATAGATATTGGCATAAGTTTTAAGAGGAAAGATGCCAAACTCAGCTCTGGTTCTGTAAAGCTGAGATATCTATGGGCTATCTAAGCAGACTCAAGGGTTTAGCAATCAGAAACACAGTATGAGAGGAATGTGGGTCACAGATAAATTTGAGACAGGAAGAACAGTGAAAGCCATAGGAGCCAACAGAAATTTATAGCAAAGTAAGTAATGATAATAGTAGCTACTATTTATTGAATGCTGACACAGTGCCAGGTGCTATACTTATCCCTTTACAAGCATTTGCTCATCTAGTTCTACAAGGCAGGAATATAACCATCTCCAGTTGACTTAGGGAGAAACCCAGGCATACAGGATCTAGATGACTCATCTGAGGGCACAGAACTAACAAGCAAACAGAAAGAGGACACACACTAACTCTAAACAATGAGTGGAGAGAAATGAGGAAAACACAGAGCTCAAGGCTGCAGCAGAGAAGGACGCGTCCTGAAAGCCAGGGGAGTAGAAATGTTCAGGAAGGAGTGAGGCCCGTGGGGCCAGGTGCACTTCGGAGGTCTAGTGAGATGAAGACTGTGAAATGAACCCTACATTTGGCAATTCTGAGGTCTCTGGTAACCTCAGTGAGAACAATCACAGTGGGGAAGCAGAGCCCAATTGAGGCAGGTTGAGTAACCCATCGAAAGCAAGGAGATACAGACTCAGTACCACTGGCTGAGAGAGCAAGGAGATAGAAAGCAAGTAAGTCAGAGGGAGATGGATGGTCAATGACTAAACTACTGACGGTGAGTGAAAAACCCCAGAGCACTGATGGATCTCAGGAATGGAGGACTTCCTGTGTCCCAGCTCTTTACATAGAAGAGTTAAGCTGATTCTAAGTGGGAGGCACACAATTACATGTAAGGCATGAGTACCATCATTAATTCAATCTTCACCATGGGAAGCAGCAACAATCATTATCAGGCTATTTTAGAGACGAGGAAACTTGAGGCACAAAAAGGCCAAGTACCTTGCCCAAGCTACAGAATTAGTAGGTGGCCAAACTAGGCTATGTCTCAGTTATTCAGGCTTTTAACTTCTGTTAATAACCTGTCTATGGCTGTAGCATAACTCAGTGGTAGCTCACTGATAGAGCTCTTGCCCAGTATGCACAAGGCTGGCCTCAAACTCATAGCAATCCCTCTGCCTCAGCCTACTGAGTGCTGGGATTACAGGTGTGTGCGGCCATGATCAGCTATTATCAGGGTTTTTTTTTTTTTATGTTTTGTTTTGTTTTTGTACTGGAAATTGAACTCAGGACCTCATGCTTGCTGGGTAAGTACTGCGCCACTGAGCCGTATCCCCAGCCTGCTATTTTCAGTTTTAAAGGAGAAACTAAAGCATAGGTTAGTTAACATGTCCATGGCTACAAATCCAGGCAGTATTGCTCCAGCACTGCTTCTCCTCCCATCAAGAGGCTCCCTTGGCATAGTGTGCTCAGTATTTTCTAATTCCTACCTTATATAGTGAGTTCAAAGCTGGCCTAAACTATATAGTGAGAACCTGCCTCCCAAAAACTAATAATACTGTCCATTAACTATTGACTAATGGAATGCAGAGAAGGTGGGGTCAATCAGCACTGGCAATGGAGGTTTTAGGGTCAAGTCACAGGCTTTGTAGTCAAGATGATCATGGGTTTCAATTCCAGCTCTATTACCCATAAGCTGTGTGACCTTGGGCAAATTACCTAACCTCTCTGGACCCTAGTTTCCTCATAAGGATGAGATGCAGAAGAAATGAGCTAATCTTTTATGGAGTGCTCAGAACAGTCCTAGCACATAGCAGGTACTGGATAAATGCTGGCCATTGTTATTCCAAGGAAGCCAGATCTGGCTAGGGAGTAGGACAAGCTCAGAGGAGTGGGAGTTAAGGCCCAGAGAAGGACCTGGAGGTCAAGCAGAAGTCAGCAAGACTGTGGAAGGGTAGACAAGGGCCAAGGTCAGTGGAAGTACTCACATTGGTGAAGGGCGGTTTATGATGCTGGTACTCAATCCACGGAGGTACAGCCAAGGTGCGATTTAGCAGCTTTGCAAATGCCAGGGAGCCCAAGAAATGATCAGCCTGGTTTCCAAAACGCCCTGGAAATGGTATAGTAAGATGACGTAAGGCCTGAGGTATCATGCGGATGGGACTTAAAGAGCTAGGAAATGTGGACCCGGGGTGGGGAAGGCCAGGACATCAAGGAGAGCTAGGGAAGCGAGAAGCATGAGAGCAAGTCCAGACTCCTGGACCTGACTGACATTCAAGGCTGCTCCTCCAGCGTCGGCCACTCCAGGTTCCTCACTGTCTCCCAAACACATTCTATAGAGTCCACTCCATCTGCTGTCTTTTTCCTTGCTGTTGCCTAAGCCAGGAGTGTCCTTCCATCTGTCTCATAACCTGCACATGAAGGTGCCACTCCAATGCCTCATTCACTAAAAAGCCTTTCATCCAATAAATAAATAAATAAATAAATTTAAAAGGGGGCTGGGGATTCAGCTCAGCGGCATAAGCGCCTGCCTTGCAAGCGCACGGTTATGAGTTCAATCCCCGGTATTGATAAAAAAATTAAAACATTTTTAAAAAGCCTTTCATCAGCACCCATCTGTACTCACTCTCCCTTTTCTGCCTCTCACTTTGCACATGAGTTACTAAAGCCCTTCACTTTTCCTCAAATGTCTTTTCTCACTTCCTGGCTTTTCATACTGGTTGTTTTCTCAACTTATGAATGCCTCAGGTGCAAGGATCCTGTTGGATTATTTTTATTAACTCCAGCACAATATCCATTTATATACTCCCCAAATATTGAGAGATCACACTGTGCCAGGATCTATGCTAGATGTTAGGATATGGGAGTAAACAAAGACAAGGTCTCAGTAGTCTTGGCACTTACAATCCAGTTGGAGAAGCACTAAATATGTATAACAAATTTATACTGGTAATTTTGATAACAATCAGGGAAAAAACGGGATGGGGAATGATAAAGAGATTACTTGCATAGAGGTCAGTGGAGTCCTCTCTGGTGACATTTATGCTGAGACTTGAAGAATGGTGAGCATGTGGTGGCGTAGAGGTGAAGGGGAGGATGTGCCAGGAAGAGGGAGTAGGATATAGACCTTAGCATGTGAAGAACAGAAAGGAGGTGAATTTGGCTGCAACTGGTGGGCCAAGAAGGGAGCTTTGGAGATGACCAGCAGAGAACCAAACCATGCAGGACCCTGAAGGTCAGGGCCAGGAGAGCGTTACTAATAACTTTACTTTTACAACGAATCAACTACTCCATTTAAATGGCACTGCTCAATGAGCCGTTAGATTGTCTTATCTGATCTCTCCCCAGTTTCCATTATTTTTTTTAAAAAAACTGTATTTATTTTAAATGTGTATCTTTTATTGTTTGCCTTTCCCACTAAAACCAAGTCTCTACAAGGGAGTGGGTTTATTTGCCTTATTCACCACTATACTGCCAGCACAGAGAACAGAGTGGGACACGAAAAAGGGACCCCACAAATAGCTGTTGTATGAATGAACGAATCACCAGTGACACCAAGTTCTGCTTATCTCTATTTACTGGGATCCAGGCTGGTTTAGATCTCCAGCGAGTCGCATAACCTCCCCCAGCCTTAGTTTTGTCATCCGTCAAATGGAATGTTGGGCACATGGCCCCTCAGTGCCCCTGCAATTATAGCGGAGAGGAGAAAAGCAGGCCCTGTCTCACAGTAGGGATTTCCCTAGGTTTGTCCAGTATTCTCTGGGCTTCTCTCCTGGCCTCCGTTTCTCCATTCGAGCAGAGGGCTCGGGAGGCCTTACCCATGCAGGGGCAGTAGAGCAGGTAACCGGCCGGGTCCCAGGAGACCGCGGGCAGCCCCGGGAGCTGCAGAAGCAGCAGCAGAAGAAGAGACACACACAGCGGCAGGGGCGACATTGCCCACGCGGCGGCGCCCACGTCGGCTCCGGAGCCCCAGCGCGCCGCGGTAGAAAGGAGGAAAGGAGAAGCGCGAGGGTCCGCCCCACTCCCGGCGGCCCTCGCGCGCCGCCCGCGCGTCGCCCCGGCCGCTCTAGCTTGCGGGCGGGAGGGACCATAGAGAGGCCGCGGCACCGCCCCCCTCCACAGCCCGAGCGCCCGCTGGCGCGCGGCTCCCACAATGCACCGCACAATGGCCCGACCGCCGCCACTACCGGGGCCTGAGCGGGCCTGGCGGAGCCCGAGCGCGGCCCGGCCCGCAGCGCGGGGCCCCGAGCGCGGTGAGTGCCGGCGAGGGCTCCGGGGGACAGCGGGGAGCGGGGCGGGAGGCGTCTCGCCGCGCCCGCACGCCCGGCACCCGGAGCGGCGGCGCCCCTCAACTGGGGCCCCTCAGCGCGGTCTCCCACACCCCTGACTGGGCCCCCTCTGAGCCAGCCAGGCCCTGGAGAGGCCTTGGGATGATGAAAACTCTCCCTCGACCTCATACCTGTGTCTGGGGGACCCGGAGGAGCCCTACTGGCCCCCTCCCTCCAGAGACGTGGGGACACACTCCAGTGGGTACCCCGCTGTGGACCCCCGAGCTCCCCAGAGACTCAGATAACTTGCTTCTGGCTTTACCAGGGACCAGGGACCAGGGTCTGGGGGACCCAGATAAGCTGCACCTGCTCCCTCCCTCAGACACGCCTACCCTGACCCACATAACCCCCTCTTTCCTGCTCCAAATAGCCCACTCTTTACCCCATTTCCTTTTCCAGACTTACATAACCCCTTCAGAGGCTTCCCTCAAATATCTGTCTGGAGAACCCAAATAACCCTACCTGCAAGTCCCTCCCTAATGACCCATACGCCCAAACTTCAGGCATTTTCCATCGGGCTCCCTCCGGATTTTGAGACCCTCTTAAAACTCAGAGAATTCACTTTCTGTCTTTAACCCCCGAGCTCTCCTTCCACTCTTAGACGTCCCCTCTTTTGGGTATCCTTGGAAACCTAAATAACTTGTAATTCTTTTGCATTTTTGCCTTTCCTTCCATCTGTGAGGGTAACCCGCGCCCCCCCCCCCCGCCTTTTCTTCTGGAATTCTTCTCTTCCCCCCAGTCCACTCCCATTTCTATTCTTGTGGGGAATTAATATTTTCCACCATTCAGTGGGGGTGATCTAGAAGCTGGCTTGGGAGTCAGACTGTTTCTTATAAATCCAGCTCTTCACTGTGGCCCAACTTGATGGAGGAAAAAAGGGTCCTATATGGTGGAAGGAAGATAAAGAGGCATAAATGTTGCAAGAGGAGCTGGTGCTTTCACCTACAAATGTGGCCTGTCTTCTAGCTTGTGTGTTTTTCCACCTGTCAGCCTAGAACTGTGATAGAGTCCGGCCTTGGGTTTCTAACTCCTGTCCTAAAGTGAGGCCACCAGATTGGGGGGGGGTATCTAATCAGGTTTCCTCTAAGCTATACTGAGTTGCAGCCATTTGCTCAAGGCCTCCCCGGGAGTGGGAGGCAGCCAGAATCTGAGGAAACTGGAATCAAAGGGACTCCAAAAAGGGGCCATCTACACTGACAGAAGAACTAGCAGCCCGAGAGTAAATCCAAGCCCTGTTAATCCTGTTTGATGTTTCTTGGAATGATGCAAGTCATTGAGACACTTCAGCCAGTCCCTGTAATTTAATTCTCCCACCATTCTGGAGTGTCGTTTGTTGAGATGGGGGGCGGGGGCTATTCTCATTCCCCCCTATTTCTTTTTAGTTTCCCAGCCAACCAGTGTGCCTTTTGAAATTGTTTCTGGTTCCCAGGTCAGGAGTCCCCCCCACTCAGTGGTAATTCTATTTATAATTTCCCAATTGCTATTCTGGGTTCTGCTTAAGGGAAGATTCTGTCCACCCTAAGGAAACTTCCTGGGTGTGTTTCCTCCTAGGCAGGTGTTGAATTGAGTTCTTCAGATCCCCAAGTAGCTCTTGGGCAGGAGGGATAAAAGCTATTTTAGGGTAGTCACTGAAGTGGAGCTGTTAATCCTCTGTGGGTTTCTTTAGTTAAGAACACTTAGAGATTAACCCTTTCCGTGCTTCTGGGAGTGAGAGTGCTATCTTTCAACAGTATTTTGGGGAGAGTTGGAGTGTGGCAACAGAAGGTGGAAACATGCAACTCAATACAAAGACAAAGATAATAGCTCTCTTTGGTTGGGTGCTTATAGCAGGCCAAGCCCAGTGCTGAGCCTTCTGCATACCTGACTAAAATAATTCTTACAAGTCTGTGAGGTAAGTATTTTTAGCTTTACAGATGAAGAAACAGGCTAATAATGGAGAATGATTGTAGTTTTTAGAGTGATGATGTAACATTAGAAAACTATAGTTTCATCAGAGGGAAGCAGGCATGGTGGCACGCAACAGAAAGCAGGCAGACAGTATGTCTCTGTTTTAGTTTCTAAAAGCCAAGAGTTTTGGGAAAGCATTCCTATTTGGGATTCCTATTTTGGAGACTTAGTAACAGAAGAGGGTATAAAAAAGTGGCTATGTAGGCAAGAGAAAACTCTGGCCCAGGCAGTGTATTAAAGGAAGGTAAAAGTAAGAGGCTGGTTAGAGGGGATGTGCTGAGGGTTAGTTATAAGGGAAAAGGGGAAGGCTGCGTTCTGGGGAGATGTTGGGGAGGGAAGGAAACTTACTTGAGGCTTGAGAAGTAATTCTAAATGGGAGGGGAAGAAGTACTACTCGGGCACTATGCAGAACAAAGGCAGGCACAACTTGGATTTCAGAGAGAGTACTCCATGTATTCAGCACACATTTCATGTCACTTTCAAGAGTATTATTTCACTTAATCCTCTAGAAGAATCTCAGAGCACTCTATTTTAGAAACTGAGGAAAGTAAGGCTCACAGAAATAAAGTAACCTGCTGGTGGTTTCACAGCCAGTAAGTGGCAGCTCTTCTGATAGCAAGTCCAAGGTTCTTTCCATGCTGCCTCCCCCTTCAGATCAGATGCCAGAAAGAATCTTAGGCTGAAAATATACTGACTTATACCAGTAACTGGGAGGGATTGTGTTTGTTTTATGGGAACAGGTTCTGTCAGCTTCTCTGTAGTTGTTATGAGTGGAGTATGAGACCAGAAGAGCAGCTTTGTAAGGAAAATAGAATTCTTTTACAGCTTTGCCAAAGAAGAAATCAGAAAGAACAGTCATATGAGTATGTGAGGGAACTGAGAAATCTTTCTAGATCAGAAGTTTGCAAAAAAAAAAGAGACACAGACAGACAGACAGACAGACGCTAGATCCTCAAAAGGATTCCTAGGTAACACTGCCACCTTTGGTTATCCAACAGCTTGCTTGTGACTTTTAAAAGGCCTAGGGAAGTAGGATCAGGCCCCTTTTTTTTTTTTTAAATCCATAGCCCTATTAAATGCAGATCAAGTTAAGCACACAGTTTCTGCCTTTCTTTGATTCCGTCAGTACAACCCGGTGAGATCTTAGCCACTACCAGTGTGTTTCCTAGAAGCCCATTATTCACTTTTTCAGTAGCAGTATGCTAAATTGCTATCTTGTTTGTGCATGTTCAAGAGAATAGATGAGGTAGGGGTGTGTATGTGTGTGGGTGGGAGGTGGGGGACATACTGTTCTCTTTCTGAGTTTGTACGGAGTTTCTAAGGTAAGGCTCTCTTTGCACATCAGCCAAAGTGATGTGATTTGCTTTTCTTTTGCTGTCATTCCCAACTTTCCAGAAGCTGAAGTGCATGATTTCAGATATGAAGGGGGAGCAGAATATGACTTTGAAGGTATGGGAAATTCCCTCCAAACTAAACATGCATACTTGAGCTCACTCTCTGCCCACTTCCAAGGTGCATAGTAATCATCACTGGTATTATAAACAGGTAATTCCACCCTTGTGAAGGAGGGGACTTAAACAATGAAAGCCAGACGTCAGAGGCTTTTGAGGTTTATAGTGAAGCAGGCAAATGTGCCATGATGACTTGAAGGCTCAAGTGGTTCTAGATTTTAGTGTTGCCTACTCCTCCCTAGCATGTGATTTTTCACAAGATGAGACCGCCTTTGTGCATATCTTTCTAGGCAAAGCTCTACTTGTGATGGGAAAATGTTTATCATATTACAATGCAGTGTTTCTTCAATAAGAGGAATGGTTCCTGAACAGGATATAGCTCATGTTAATGATGAGCAAAACTCTCTGGGGCATGAACCCGCTGATACTATCATCTCGTTCATGGCCAGTCTGTTGGATGAATAGTCACTGTAAGCAGCAGGTGCTAATGAGCTGAGCAAGCATTCTATGGCTCACAGCTAGTTTATGCAATTGGAGCCCTCTCCAGATTCTTGTGGACAATCCTGAGACACCTCTTTTGCTCTCTCCACATGGAAAAGCCTCCTGACCAAATTTTGATCTCTTCAAAGGGATCCATCCCCTTCTTGTAGCAAGTTACATTATTGTTGGGAATGGGCAAGCTAGTTTGTATGAATGTAGGTTTATTGTTTCCTTTGTAAGAGCCAGTCTGATAACTTCTGGCCTTTTCCTCTGAATTGGTGTCAGAAAAGGAGTTGTGTCACAATTACTGCAGCCCTCTTCTTCTACTCAACTTCTACCAACATGAGAAAATGTCAGACTTGAAAATTTTGCTACCCTACTTTGGAAGGGTTGTGAAGGCAGTTTTTTTTTTTGTTTTTTTTTTTTTTGTTTTTTTTTAAACAGGCATGAGAAAGATTTATTAGAAGTAAATATAGGATCCACTCAGAACTGCAGTGCTCAAAGAATTGAAACACAATATTGTGAAGCCAGTTTAAACCAGAATTTTCTAGACATAAGTTAAGCTGCGTTCAATGACTTAATTTATTCATCTTAAAGAAAGTTGCAGTTCCTTTCCTAGATGTTAGAAATATGGAGGTGAAAGAGAATAGGAGTTCACAGAGGATCAAAGTCAAGTGGAGTAGACTAAATTCTGAGTAAATATGTTACTTGTTCCTAGTGGAGAAGGTCACAGGTGCTTTGAGAATTTGTCAGAGAAGTTATTCAGAACCTCATGTTGGACAGGCTTTGCTAAAGAAGCATGGGCTGAGTGAGGAGACTGACAGATCTGGAGAGGTAGTAGAGGTTAGGATGAAGCCAGCATAGTTTAGGAAGAAGCATACTAAGAATCTGCTGTTACGGGTGCTGAATCTAGTGATGTTGATGTGCTGCCGTGGAGCATGTCCGGCATAGGACTGGCTCGCTGTAAATTTCCTAAGTTGTCTTCTCTGTTGCCTTTTGGACATTTTATTGCTACTTAGCATCCCCAGGAAGAGAACTATAGAAAGTAGGAGGGGGGGGGCGCAGAGTAAAAGAGGGGGAGAAAGAACTGCTGTGCCTAGATTAAGTGGAAAAGATAAAAGTGAAGTCAGAAGAGAAAGTTTAGAGCTTTTAGTTTCTGAGACTATCTTGTTCCTTAGATAGCACTAATAATAGTAGTTACCAGTAAGCACTTACCAAGTGCCCAGCCTTCTGGTGAATACTTTTTATTCATGACCTCATTTGATAGTCAGAACATCCTTATGCTTTTGGGTATTATTATTTCTATCTTATAAGTGAAGAAAAAGCTCTGGGAAATAAGTAATTGGAAGCCACACAGCTTCTTTGTGGGAGAGGTGATACTGGAATGGGATCTGTCTGTCCCTAAAGCCCATGTTATGTTATTGGGCCCCCTAACAGCAGATGTTCTGATGTTTGTTTCAGGTGAAGAGATTGTTTTCTGAAGGCTGCATTGGAGGCTGTGACAGAACGGAGAACCTGAGTGGAACTGATGGGGAGACTTTCTGAATAACATGGCCGTTCGCCATTAGCCTTGCCATGACCACATTTTTTACCAGTGTCCCTCCCTGGAT